AGGCGGTGAGGAAGTGGGGACGAGTTTAGTCCGACAAGGGAGAGACATTAAGGCCAAAAAGAGCGGAGATCCAGGTGGAAAAAGGGTCCCAGCATTCTTGCGCACCTCGCTCTTCTAGCAGGTCAAACTTCACGAGTTGTTTTCCGCAATTTCGGTCATAAAAACAAAACAAGCCGGCCTCCTGTCTGCGGCACTGTCTGCGGTCAGCTACAATCTGGGAGAGGAGCAGCGGAGCGTCTGTGGAGGGGGGTGGGGCGTCTGGAGCCGAGATATTGCGTTGCACTCATTGCACTGATTTTCTGCAGTATTTTCTGATGCAAAGCCTTTCAGAATCTATGACGCAGGGGGATTATTATTTTTCAGTGAATGAGGTTTTAATAGAAATAGATGGAGTGCAATTTTTCTACTTCTATTATTTGCTGTTGTTTCTAAAAAAAAAAATGCATAACGATATTACAGCTTTCATTGATTTTATTTCAAATTTGAAAATTTCTCTAGTCTAAGGTGTAAAAAAAAAAGAAACAATCGAATCGTATCGTGGAGTATTCTTGAGTATCGAAAATAATCAAATCATTTGGTCAGGAAATCGTTACTGAATCGAATCGCCATGATGGGTGTGATTTACACTCCTAGTACGTGGACGGTGACGTGTGGAGGAGTAGCGGTGGATGTGGAACAGTCCTGATTAATTAACAGACAGACAAAAACTCCACACGGCGTACATGAGAGGAGCGCTGACGGAGTATGGGGAATCTGGGAGTTAGGCTGAAGCTGTTCTACCTCTGTTTCAGGGCGGGGACAGTGACGAGGATGTTGAGGGATTTGGCGGTTCAGAAGACTCTCCGCCTTCGGGTGACGGTCTACTTCCACCTTCGCAAGATCTTGGAGATGTGACCACATACGGGGAGGGGGATCTGGTACCAGAGCCACACAGGGTAAGTCGGATTAAGTTTTATTTGATTTAGGTTTTATTGGCGGCGTTCTGGCATTCAGATAGGAGCAGCAGGAGATCAGGACAGGAACCCACACGCAGGATAGTTTCAGGTGGAAGTACTTCCTGGACCCACTGAACCAGGAGCATCTCTGGAGGGTCTAATGGTCTATAATGAACGAAGCACCGTGAGTCGCTCTGCAAGCTGTGGGTAGAAGCTCCTCTGGTCTGATGGGACGGTGAAGCCACTATAGCCACGGCGATTGGTGGCGTAATGTCAGAAAGCAACAGCATCCAATGTGGCTGGAATGCGTTTGTTTAGAACACACCGTTAAAAACAGTGGGGCCGTTTTCAGGATTATAGAAGGAAATCCACTCCACACTTTTCAGATTCCTGTCCATGTGTCTGTTGCATACAGGAGCTCTGATCTCGAAACGCATGTGAACCTTTTGATGGGTCTTTGTTTCCAACGGCTGTTATTCTGCTTTAAGGTGAACAAAATAGAAATCAACTACGCCAAGACGGCGAAGAAAATGGACATGAAGAGGCTGAAGAGCAGCATGTGGACGCTTTTAACAGAGAGCCCAGAAAAACCAAAACAGGTATGCCCCCCTCCCTTTCTTCTTTTTTTCTTAATTCTTGCATTCAGAGTTTCCTCCAGCAGGGAGCCGTCTGGGTTCTCCTGGTTTTGTTCAATTCTGTGTGTTCTAGTGTGTTTTATTGGTTTTTTACCTTGATGTTCCCAGCAGGAGGAGGAGACTGCAGAGGCTCCAGTGTGTGGAGAGAAAGCCTTCAGTCAGACCACAAAGACTCTGCTTCAAAGGTACCTGCTGCCCTGGCTGCTCTGACAGGACACACGTGAAGAATAACAATCAGAGCAGCTCTCCTGCTGCATGACCGCCGTGGATACGAGCTCATTCAGCAGGAAAACAATCACCCTTTAGTGCTTTTTAATTCATTCCACTTTCACTGCATAGATAAGTCTGACTTTGGTTCAGGGAAAGCAGAATTTTATTGAAAGCGTCTCTCTTGTTCTGTTTCTTTCCTTGTGGGGGTCCAGGTTACCAAGCACTATGGCTCAGAACCTGTCGGTGCCGCTGGCGTTTGTCGCTCTGCTTCATCTTGCTAATGAAAAGGTGAGTGCGCTCGAACGCAACTCCTTTTACGAGTCGGTTCTGCTGGTTAAAGTCCTGGAGAATAAAGGTGGACTTATTCCCTGAATGTTTAAAGGTGGGTCGGTTGTTCTGCTCCAGCAGGCCGGTTCCTTCATACATGCCAAAACCACAGAGATCTGTTTGTTAGAGGCTTCCTGCGTAGAATTTACATTTTAAACTTCAACTCATGCATGTAATCTCTAAACTCCCCCCTCATCCACTAATAAAGGCCACTTTGCTGCCTAGTTTTTCTTTAAAGGAAAAGTCCAATCAGCAAGGAGTAATCAATGGATCATTATTTATACCTAAAACGAATATGATCACAGGGATTTAATGAATTTAGCGTTAATCATTAAAAAAATAATAATAATTTTCACTAAGTCTGGGAGTGGCCATTTTTCCCCAAATACATTCTCCCCGCTTTCCAAGCTAAATCAATGGGAACTACTAGACACATCTGCAATCAACAACAATTATTGAAGATTTCCAGAGGACTTCACCATTGAAATTCACCAGAGCTATAGTGAAACTGACAATGCCCACGTGCATGGCAGCTGGATGCTGGAATACATCGGGTAAAAGTGAAAAAAAAAGAGTTATTCCACCTTTCTGATTCCTGATCCTCCATGGACGGGTTGGTCGTTGGATCGCCAACTTGAAGAGGGAGGATTTGCCATCGAACTTCTGGCCAGAGAAAAAACCCGTAATATGTAGCCAACATTTGGAAGAAGAATGTTTTCAAGATGACTTGGATAATAGCGCGTTGTGACAAACACCAGATACAGCACTGGGACTTGATCAACAGCCGATACCGCACCTTAGACGTACGCAAGAGGATTAAAAAAAGTGAACTGATTCTTAAATATTTCAGTTTAATATGGGAAACTGAACTATTTAAAAAAGAATTATTAAAAAAAATAACGGCTCGCCATTATTGGTTCCTTCTCGATAGCGGAACCAATAAAGCGTTGTTGCGGCCGGGACATTTGGGAGATGCACCATTAACATTTTTCTGGAAAATCTGAGCAAGTGTAAATGTAACCAAAATAGTCTCCAGCCAAGAGTTTTCTCCATGGCTAAAACCAGGGAACATACATGAGGCTCAGTGGATTTAGTGCAAGAAGTCATTCAAGCTCAGAACGATGGGAATTAAGGCAGTGGAGTCGCACATGCGAAACGCGAAACACAAAGCGTCAAAATGGAGTTAGAGAGAAACAGCCGGTATTTCTCAGTTTAGTTCCACCCTTGTCTCTGCAACGCCTCCACTTATCACCAAATCAAACATACTAAGAAAACCATACAAAGAAAAATAGCTGCAAAAAAGACTTAGCACTGGTTATGTTGGGGCTTTAAAACTGATTTGTTTTGTTCCCTGCTAAAACAAAGTTTGTGAATTCAGTTAAATAATTGTTCAAATATATCTGTCATTTGTGTGTTTTTAGCTTTCTTCCTGTATGGGAAGCTTTTCAAAATTTGAAACATTAGTGCAGCGGTTTATGTTATAATAATCCTTTGGGTTAAGTTGTCGCAAGCAGGTTTTTCTTGTGTTTCTTGTGAATTTGGTCTTAAATTTTTATTTCAAGTGGCATTAAAAAGTCTTAAAAAGTCTTGAATTTAACTTGCCTTATGCTGTAGGAACCCTGTATGTAGATTGGCACCATGAAGGAAGAGATGTGGAGCTCTCAGCTTCACTGATAAAGATGTGAGATGTTCTGGAGGGTCAGTAACACATTGGTAGAAAATTTGGGAATTAGGTGACTTTTTACGTGGCCGAGGGGTCCCTGATGATGCTATTTCATTCATGGAGGAGCAGAAGGCGATTAAAACAAGGGTGCTAGTTTAGTCTCTAAAATAGACAGCTGTCAGAATCAGAATTCAAAATGTCAGAAATAGTGTTGAGTTGAAGGCTTTATAAAGTAGTCCAACAAAGCCTTGTTTTCGCTAAATTTTATTTTAGTATAATATGAGGAAAAAAAGTCAGAATTCTGACTATTTCTGACATTTTGAATTGAAAAAGCTTCCTGGATGGGAAGCAAAACGTCTTCAAACTTGGAAACAAAGTCCAGTGGATTCTATTTAAACTTTTTTGGCAAGAAAACATAATAGATTAATATTGTAATGGAAGGTTAATATCGTACAGCAGATTAGTCACATGGTGTCATTTTCTCCAGGCTGCGCTGCAGGGAAAATAAACATTTATAATGAATGCTTATTATGTATTTCAGCCTTTAATTGTGAGCTAATATACACTTCAAGCCCTTATATAGCACTTGGAGCCCTTAGAAGGCTTATATAACATTTATACATTTTTGTGGCTCCAGACAGATCTGTTTTTGGTTCGACATTACTCTTTGGTTTAGATTAGCGGACAACGGTCCGGATCCGGACCTACCTGCTGGCTAATCCGGACCCAACCTGATTTAAAAGATTTATAGATTACTGCATGTTGTCCGACGACAGTGTCTAACCCCAAAATCTCACATCCTCCATATCCGCCCCGCTCTGCTCCAGACCTCCTGCTTAAAGCAAAGCCTACAGCCTCCTCTGCCCTGACTTCCTCAGAGCTCAAGGAGAGCATGCACTATATTATTATTAAATTCAGGAGCAAAACATGCAGAAATTAACGCTTAATTTAATACGACATATTACAAAATCCCCACCCTCATCCAGCCAGCACATGTTGCTAGCAGCCTAAAGCCCACTGCTCTCATTAAGTCATAAAAGAGAAAGAAAATAACAGTCAGTTTAGGTGTTTTATAATATATGGGAATCATGAAATTGTTTATATAACAAACTGAACGATTGTTCTCTACCTTAAAAATCCCTTTAGAGTTTAAAATGGAAACATTTTCTATTTTTTTTCCTTTCATTTATTTAAAAGTGTCAATGTATAACATGGATGCATAAAAAACTCATTTCATTTCTGCGTTAAATTATGTTTAAAGTAACAGATTAAAATCAGAAATGTCTGCAGACCTTTACTGGTTGATGATTTTCTTTATTTGGACTCCGCTGGTTTTTAATTGGTTACCTCTGCTTTTAGTTTTTTCCAAGTCCAATTAGGACCAGTAGATTTGATTTTATGTTTGGACAAACATCTAATCTTTCGCCACTAGATGGCCTCAGTAAGCATTAGATGCTAATATTAGGCATCTTGAATTTAACCATTTTGCAACAGGTTTGGTAAAGAGCTTTAGAAAGTCTCTGCAGACATTTTCATGTGGATATTTTAGACTATGAACACAATGAAGGCTTAAACATCAAATCATCCAATTAAACATCATCCATAAAAATGAAGGCTTTGAATATTATTGACACTAATGTTAGCTGTAAATACCATCCCTGATTCTGATCAAACATCCTCTCTGCCGTTTAGTGTTTGATTAAAATCACTGATTGATGGCATTCAGTGTTATGCTGTATTGTTTAATCCTTGATTTATTAAAAAAATAAAAAAGGTCCTGAAAGTTCTTAAATAATTGTGGGAACCCAGAAACCATAAATACTTTAGCGTTTTCAGTTTAACTTTAAGAACTATAAGCATCAACCCACTGCATTTTATTTTTTACTTTTTGGAAAATGAAAACAGTCCCACCTAGGCTGTACGATCTAAGCTAATATTTCATGATGACAGCTTTGCTGTCCACAGCAGTGACATCACAGGAGGGGTTGTTACCTCACATATTCCAGCCCGTCGGCTGGACCCTCGCAGATTAGAGGTTAAAGGTCACAGCGTTGGAGGCACAGACAAGACCACACTGAGGAAATCTGGATTTAAAGCAAAAAGATTATAGAAAAAATTGGTCACACAAATATACCTTAGAAAAGTGTATAAGAATAACATAATAGTGAAGAGTTAAAAAAATAAACAATAAAATACTGTACTGTAAAATGTTTTAACAATATAAAACTGCACCTGGAGAATAAATAACCAATATACAGCTGTGGATATTTTTACAGTAATAAATATTTTAAAATAGCAGCAGGTTATTTAATTAAGATGGAATCTGTGCAGAATCAGCATGAATGGAAGAACTTATTGAGGTTGTTGGGAACAGTGGTGGTTTTAGGCCCCGTCCACACGAAGACGAACCCTGGCCTAAACGCACAAATTTTTCACCAAACCAGCCTCTCATCCATACGAAGCCGGCGTTTCGGGGGTCTGTAAGTTTTCGCGTTTCCATCTTTACGCTCTAACCGCATATTTTTTTTACACGCATGCGTCATAGCG